CTGAAGACAGCCATGAAAGTAGGTCCAGCAGCTACCACAGACCCCCACGCTGGCCGAGGTATGTCTTCCATTCTGATGTCCTTTACTTATAGAGATTTAGGAACAGTGGCGGAAAAAAATTCAGGTCTTCTACTGTCTCAGGATTTTAACTGACACCAACACTGCCTCTCGATACAAGTCTCCCTCAGGGTAAGCCAGAGTTGTGAAGCAAGGACGGTCCAGCCCACCTGCATGGCTGATCCATATGTGGGGAGGGTGCCTTTCTTCTTCCGTGCCCTGGAGACCCTCCTGGATTCCAGCTAGTTGTTGTGGGGCTGCAGATTCATGCTAATAACATCCACTAATCCTGAAAATAAAAGTTGGCTCTGGAAGGGGGTTTATGGTTTCTATAGGGCTTATGATTATTTTCTTAGCTCACGCACATGACCACCTTGACGGAGCTGTGAGCAAAGCACCTGAGAACTGTCAACTCAGTGACACACCATCATCCTGTGAGGTCCTGGGCTTGCCTCCATGTTTATAAATCAAAGCTCAGAGATATGGGAAGGAGACCCCTAGGAAGCATGGTGCCTACAATCTGAACCACAGCGAGTTGGGTCCCAACTAGGATGTTAACCATTTTTATTTCCCCGTCTTCTCAGCCTTGTGAGAAGCTGGCAAGAGCAGACTCATTGCTCATAAATTTCAATTCTCTATTTTATGAGAAATAAGGTATGAACCAATCTGGACCTCATGGGTATTACAATATAGTAGCAGTTCAGAATTTGGGGCCCTGATGTCATTGAAAAATATTTGGTGAGGGTTAGGACCCGGAAATACTCAATCAAGAGAGAACCAGACAAGAGGTGTTTGGAGACGTTGATCAGAATTGGGCCAGATGAAGTCAGTTTCTAGGGGACTGTGTGATAATTTTATACCTAGGTTAGTCTAGATCAGTTTGGCCTGTGGTTGTGTCTTATGTTAACTGATATGGGGAGTCCTAGCACACTGTGGGTGGCTCCCTAGGTTGGAGTCCTGAAGAAGGTGAGTTGAGTGAGTGTCATTTCTCTCTGTTCTTGATGCTGATATGATGTGACCAGCTGCTTAGGTTCTGGCTGCCTTGACTTCCCCACATGGTAGACTGTGCCCTGAAACTATACGCTTACACAAGCTCGTTCTTCCCTAAGTTACTTTTTTGTCAGTGTTCTATCACAGGAACAGAAGCAAATCCAGGACAAGTGCTGGGCATTCATAGCTGCATGTGTACCATCTAGGCAGAGCAAGCACTCAACAGTTCTCATCTTTAAAGTGAGGCTGAGCGCAGCGCCTCGTCTCCGTCTGTTAGATTCTGCTGCCTACCAATCTCTGGCCATTTAGCCTCACCACAGCACGGCCTGTTTTTCTTTCTTTTGCCTCTGGGTTAGCTGCTTTGTGTCCCTAGGAAGATGTATTCATAATTTCTAAAAGAGGCATGGTTCATGGCTTCCAGAATTGTCAGTCAGAGGATCCATGGCTTGGCTTTGAGGCCTTTAACCAGACAATTCACAATGGCAGATGAGCCTGGAGGAGAAGGCCACTCTCCCTGAGGTTATAACAGCAAAGACAGAGGACAGGACTGGAGTCCCAGTGCAACTCTCAAAAGTGTGCCCAAGTGAGGTCCCTGGCACAAGACCTCTACTCCTGAAGGTTCTGCTGACTCCCACTAATGTCATAAGTTGGTGACCTCATCTTTAGTCTGTTGGCTTTGGAGATGTTTAATGGTCCTAGGAATTCTACAAAGCACCCCCCATTCCATCTGTGTCCCCCTGTCTTGTGTCCCTAACTGTTCATTGGATGCTATTTTTAGAATACACAAATGTCCTTGCTCCTCTCAGACTCAACTATAAAAGCAATTCAGGACAGAAAATCCTTCACTTCCTTTTAATCTCTTTATACCACTTAGTGGGATTCTTAATTCATAAATGAATGAAAACCAAGGCTGAGCCTGCTTACAGAGAGCAGTACAGACTTGACCAGGCTAGCTGAGGTCCAGCCCAGTTAAGATCTGCCTTGATCACTTTATTCTCTATGGTTAATGTTTATCTCAGGCTCTCAGGCCAGTAAAGAACAGATCCCACGGCAAAAAAAAAAAAACAACAACAACAACAACAAAATAAAACAACAACAACAAAAAAACAAAACCACAGACTGTGTTTTCCCTTTGCTGACAGGAAAATTATCTGCTTCGTCCAGGAAACAATCTCTCTTCATCAGAGCTGCAAGAAGCAGGAATAAATTAATAAAATCAAGATGTCTAGACCACCCTGGACCCCAGCACTTCCTTGCATTCACTGTGTCTTGTCAGTGAATGTTTCCAGCCTTAGAACAGTAAAATTCTCTTAATTTTCTGCATTTTCTTTGTGTTTACATCATTACTAAGGTATTGACTTTTATGATTTAGCTTCTTTTTCTCTTGGAATACCATACAGTTACTTGTATCCAAGGCAATATTGATACATTTTGGGTTACATTCTGCTGTGTCCTGCGTGTTACTTGTGCGGATGCTGTCCTTTCTGGTCCTTAGTTTTATCGCTTTCCTCTTGGGTCCTGTTAATTCTCCCTGCTTCATTTCTTCATCCTTAAGTTGGTTGTATTCTTTTCTAGTCCTAATATCTACTCTAAAACACATGGCTTTTAAGTTATTAAATCAAAAATTATTCAATCTATTTTTCTTAAAGATAATTTGTGGAAGGTTCTAGATGGTCTTCTAATCTCTTCCCAGTGCTGAGGTAGAACATGTGGCTGTAGACACTACTCTTTTATCTCCTGCAAACATAAAACTCAAGAGCCTAGCAGCTGGCTGAACTTGAACACTTGTTTTTCCTCTTGTCCTAGGCTAGATACAGATCCTCAGAAAATAAGATCCATCTCTGAAGTTTCTCACTATTGCAAGAATAAGTCTGTTACTTTGTGGCTCAAAAAAATTAAAATTTCTTGATTCCCCACAGAATGAGCTCAGCATTCTAGATGTTGTTTTTGTTTGAGTAAAATCTGAACTATATTTAAAAATACCTACTGCTGTGTGGCCAGTTTTCTTTTCCCCCCTCTTGAAAGATCTTGTGAAGGACAGAAGCTTTGTTGGGATTCCTGGGGGTCCAGCTGCTTCCTGAGACACTCAGCTTGGGGGCCATTGCCTCTGGGTTATGAACTTTTGAAATGATCCTGCAGAAGTGTGCATTTTGACTTTGGGATTTTTCCAGATGTGCCAAAGTGGGCCTCATGTGCTCACAGTTGTGGGACTCAGCATTCTTCTCAAGATGAGGCCCTGAGCTGACACAAGTTTAGAGATGTCTGCCTTGAGTGGGCAAGGCAGTTCAGTGTTGGATTCTGCTTCATCCCATTGTTTGAATGTTATATGTTTAATTGAGTCGTTCATCTGTGTTTTCTTCTGACTCTTTTATTGTTTCTTTGTAAATTTTATATCACGCACTCAATCCTACTCATCTCCCCCATCCCTTGTATCTGACCTCTGCCCTTGCAATCTCTTCTTCAACAGAGGAAAAAGTCTCATTGTGGAAGCTGTAGTGTGTCACAGTGTGTCCCGCAGCACACCCCTTTGTCCACACTTCTTTGTTTGCAACTGTTCATTGCAATGACTTGGTCTGGTATGCAGCCTTTGATTTCTGATATTCTATCCATACTGGAACCTCACTGGGACTCCTCTTGGATATCCTGTTATTGCCCTCTGTTATGAAGATCCTGTAGTTTTGGACTGTAGGACTGGCTTCTTCATGCACTCCAGCAATTCATCGATAGGGTAGATGTTGGATTGGGCCAATTCAAAGCCTTGAATCTGGGGCTGAGAGATATCTGAGCTGGTCGGCCTGCTGGCTCTCCCTCTTTCACCAGGAATCCCTGCAACCAGGGACTGCTTTACCATGCTGCCCAGGCAAGGTGCAGAACACACATTCTCAACTTTTGCTTCTGGTGAGGAACGGGGCTAGTCTCCCACTCGCATGACTCCAGGGCCAGCTCTCCTGCCTGCCATAGGTGGCAAGAGGTAAGGGGAGGGTACATCTCTCCCTCAACCATGCCATTGCAAGGCAGCCAAGAGATAGGGACAGCTCTCTCACGCTCACACCCTCAGGGCTGTCTCACCCATGCCCCTGCCACTAAGGTCATCTCTACTGTGCTGCCTAGGAGAGGTGCAAGGTCGCTCTCCCAAGTGCTGCAGCTGGTGAGGGGCAGGGCCAGCTCTCCTGCTCTTATGACCTCAAGGCCTGGTCTCTGGCCTCTCACAGATGGTAAGGGATGAGGTATCTCTTCCTCATCCAGCCACTGAACTGGGAGGTGAGTGGGGTGCACACCCCCGCCCCCACCAGAATACTGTAGCTGGCCAGCTCTCCCAGGATGCCCAGATGAAAGAGTTCCCCTCAGACTAGATCAGGCATGTCTACTTTTGGTGGTAACAGACCCCTACTGTTGCAGGGCCATGGACCTGGATGTGGCCCCAAGTGGCATCACTGGCTATTCACATCAGACTTGTTCCTTACTACCCCTGAGTTTCCAGTTCTGCCTCTCTTCACTGTGCCTTCCTCCTTCTGTTTCTTTCTCTTCCATTTCTCCACCACTCGCTTGTTTCTTTTAGTGATTCCCAGGGTCTCTGAGTGTCTGGAGTTGACTCAGATATGGTCTCAGGAGTGTACATCCCACTTGTGCATTATGGCACTAGGCAGGGGTCATCTTGGGCCTGGTCTCCCTCCAAAGGCCTGTGAGGTGCCAGATTGGTAGTCATCTCAAGCTAGCTCTTGGTCCAGGCCCCATGGTGCTGGTCTGGTGGTTGTCTGGATCATTCCTAGCCCAGATACAACTGAGTAGCCTCACTCAATGGTTCTCTGTCTTGGGCTCACTCTTGTCCAGGGCCTGCAGGCCTGGACAGGTTTCTTCTAGCCTCCAGCCTGCTCCCCATGTTGGTATCCCATCAGGCCTGCTTGGCACCAGACTGGTGGTTATCTCGGGTCACATTTTTTTTTTTTTCAGGGATTGTTAAGCTACTAATCATTTAGATGTTCATAGGTCAGAACATTAAGTGTAGACATAGCCTCTCTCCTCTCTGCCACATACTGGTATACCTGTGACATAGCAGCCATACCTGTAACGCTGTGAGGGGAGGGCAGATTTTATTTTGATAAAAGACATTTTAACATCCCAAGTCATTTTTTAATTTCATATGTAACTATATCCTGTGACTATTAAAATGAGAAAGCATAAAAACACATAAGTGAATGGAGTATAGACTCCTGGCAGGCAGTCATCTGATGCTAGCACATTGTAGCTGTTTTTAATCTCAGTATCATAGCATCACACAACAGGAAAACACTGTGTAGAGGTTTCAAAGCCATGTCTGTAGGCTTTGTCACTTTCCTGGTGAGGAATCTAATCCAGATAGTGCAAGTGGATAACAGCCAATGGTTTGTGGAATCCAAGTTTCACTTCTGATATAATGTCCAGAAACATACATTGTTGTTTTGCATGTGTGTGGTATGGGTGCTCTCATGCGCGTTACACATGCATGTAGAGATCAGAGGTTAAAGTCAGGTGTCTTTGTTCTTACTTTTCTTCCTCACTGAGGCAGAGTCCTCAAGTGTTTTGTGGGAGTGAAGGGTCAGAACCTCCATTCTCATGCTTCTGTAAAAAGTACTCTATTTGGTCAGCTGCCACCTCAGCTCACCATGTAAGCTTATGAATCCTTGTAACTGTGTTGACAGGAGGGATGGTATTCTATAGAGAGATGTGTTTGCCCCTCCCTCTGGCTGTCAGTTTAGTGAGACACTAGTCCCCAGGGGATTGAAATTACCCCAGGGGTCTCATATAAGGAAGGAACAGGAAAGGCTAGGGTACTGGTGCCAGCCAGAGGAGGACCTTGCTCCTAGGAAATTTCATCCAGTGTTGACAGTGTGTCAGACCAGCCAGCAGGGGAGACACACCCAGGCAATGATGGTGGTGGGACCAGAACCTGAACAGGACTACTCAGCTGTACACACCTCTGATTCTCTATTTGAACTTCAGACTTTTGTTAATGTCCCTGAGATGGCCCTGGGGGAATCAGGGAACCTCATGATTCCTCTTTCCATTGTGGCCACACTGAATAATCTTTTTTGTTTTTCTACTTTGTGGTCCAATACATCTACTAAAGACAGGTGTCTGAGACTGGCTTTTTAGGACTGCAGGGTCCAGCTCTCTGATTCTAACTACAGGGCACAGTGGTTTGAAACTCTACTTTGATCATAATATAGCAATGTTGTTCTAAGTACAACATTTTTATCTCTGTGTAGGTGTGCCAAAGTGACTCTTGGTGTCTGGGAATCTGGTGTTGGTGAGAACTCACGTCAGTCACTGTGCCAGACACCAGAAAACTAAAGTGATATATGCAAGAGTCTGTAATGAGCACCAAGCAATAAAAGCAAATGGGAAATTCCAGGTGTTGGAAATATACATTTGACTTCCCAACTGCTGGCAGGGCTGCTGAACCAGGGCTGAACTGCCTCTTGACAGAGCACCTGTTGCCATGTCTCTCTCCAACCCCTTGTGTTAGCAATTGTGTTTTTATTCCCCATAATGGCAGGTCAGTGTATGTATCTGAGGCATGTGACCAAACTGTAGGCATGCTATTGACTGGGACAAGAATTTGTATCTTTACTCAGATAACACACAACCATGGAAATATTCATAGGATCCATGGTTTGGTAAGGAGTGAACCTGGCTGAGGGAAGCCATGACAGGAGGCTGCTCCCAAGCAATGGGAGCAGTTGGTGGCTCATTCTAGGTAGGGGTGTTCAATTTTTTCCTCTTTGGGGTACATTGGATGAAGAAGAGATATCTTGGGTCACAGGTTTAATCCAGGGTTTTCCAGTCTGTGTTCCATGGGTTGTGAAAGCACACACACACACACACACACACACACACACACACACACACACATGCGCGTGTGTTTACTTCATGTGACACGGTGGCATAATATTGGTATCTACAAAGTTCACATCTGACAACTCTATAATTGAAAAAAATCATGGGGTTGGGGAGATGGTTTAGTCAGTAAAATGCTTGCCAAACAAGCATGAAGGATCTGAATTCTATCCCCAACACTCTCATAGGAAAAGCCATATATAATGGCAGACTCCCATAATCCCAGTGCTAGGAAGAGAAGACAGAGGATCTCTGGGCTTACTGGCCAGCTAGACTTGCTGAATTGTAAGCTTCAGTTTTAGTGAGATACTCTATCTATAAAAAAAATGAGGTGAAGAACAATTGAGGAAGACAACACTGACCTCTGGCCTTCCCATGAGTGTGCACACACATAAACATGTACACATCCACAATACACTATACAGAAAAATTATCATAAAGTTTTCAGTAACTTCATGAGTTTTTGTTGCATGCATGCATAGCTACCTTGGGCTGTATATGGCCTATGGGCTGCAAAGTGAGGGAATCTCCTTGGAGACAGAAATGGATTGATCTGCGAGATAATAATGCAGTCAGTATGTTATGAAGATATGAATAGAGGAATACCACAGTTGCCATAGATGGTCAATGGGTCTGCGGGTCTTCCAGTGGGAGGGAGCTGTCTTTGATCTATTGAATATAGACCAACCTTATGACCAGCTTCAGTCAAGAGGCAGCAACAGATTGAGGATTCGAGGGTATCTGCATGCTGCTGAATCTTCTATGGAGCTGACGTCACAGTGCGAACCACCAGCTGGCCTGTGAGAAGTGGAGGAGTGTGTAGAAGAGACATCTTCTTGCTCTTGACACACTCCAAGCCAGCTCATCTGTGCCCTTGGATCTGGTCCTTTTCATATATTCTTAGTTGATGTTGAATAAATCATAGGTAAATATCAATGATTAGAAATGGAGAAAATGCTTTCAAAACATGAACATCACATATGCCAAACCTTTAGATGAAGATTTCATTGTTATAAAGTTTGGTGTGGGGATCCTTGCGTTCCTCTTAATTGAAATATCTGCTTATGCATTTCTGCATTGTAATAGAATCTCTTGACACAACAGAAACAGGAATAGACAAAATGGTGTCTTTTCTATTTCAGTGCATGAAAAAGCTTTGGGTTCGTATTTGCTTTCCAGTCAGTTTTAGACCCACACACAGCAAAGAGATAGCACTACATTCTTAAACAGCCTTGGTGTGGATAGGAGACCAAGTAGATCAGTTGTGGAATTCCTTAGACCATTGAGTGGTTTATATTAATATGCCACAGAGTTAATCAAGAGACGATCTTAGACACAGACGTGAGACTCAGAAGACTCAGTGATGGCTTTTGTGGGAAGCACAGCTGTTACTTAGGGTACTCAAGGCCGAGCTTCAGATCTCCACTTCTGTTGTGGTATGTAGAATATACAACATGTAACTTTCCTAATGGTTAACTAGCCATGCATTCAGTGTGGAGTCCAACAATGCCACAGTGCTTTTCTTACCTTGAAGCAGGCACTACAATTTTAGAGCCTCATTTTATCAAAATTGGCTTGAAGACTGGTCCATGAGCCAAGTGTCAACTGTAGATGAGATCCAGTTGTTTTGAACTTGAGGGAAGTGTCTAATTCCACTTTGTTAAAGGAAGCTTCCATGATCTCAATGCCTCACATACATTTTCATTGAGAAAAAAAGAAAGAAACCTAATGACTGTAGTTCACTTTGACTTTTCTTACTTACGTGGCTTGGAGAATGATTGGGTACTGTCATGAGTGCTGTGTGCTCTGCAGTGTTTCATGTATGTTCAGTTAATCCTCAACATATAAGGAGAATGTTGCTCTTAGAGCTGGACACTTGGGGTCTTGGCTACCCATTCAGAGTGTCATGGCCATCGACTATGGGGTATGGCTGGTGAACCAGAAGTGGTAGAATCAGAGGCACCAGAAGCTCATGCCTTGTTTGATGGTTGCATTTATTTATGGAACACTATAAGGAGAGCGTCTTAAGCCAAAGGGTGGAAGAATTTTCACTTTCTCGCAGATGGGCCCACATAGGTCCACTTGCCTTACTACATACTCAGCTCAGGGCTCTATGGCTGTGTGATTCCATTGGCTGTGAACTCTGGTCTTACAGGAATCATTTAAAATCACTTCAGTCCTCTGTCCCTGGGCTGTTCACGCACCAGAGAGAAAACTTATTAAAGCCATCCATGCCCTCCAGTGTGCGGATGAACATTCTGGGTCTTCCGGGAGAAGTTTCTTTATATGTGAACAGGGAATGAAGGATCTCTGTTCAGGATGACTACAATTTAGACACAAAAACATCTGTAGAGCTGAAAGCGCCAGCTGTGGGACGTGGTGCTGACCCAGAAAAGAAGCAAACTAGTGTACACTGATTCTCCTGTACAGGATTTTGGAAAGACTGAATATTGCCACCCACACTGGCATTTGACCTTCATGGAACGTTTGAGTAAAATGCATTTACTAAAGTTACTTTCATTTTATCCCCTCTATTTGCAAAAGTCACTAATCTTAATCAAATAACTTCAAGCCATTCAAAGCCAAAACCAAAACCAACCAACTAACCAGTCAACTAAAACATTACTAGTGACTTGCAAATAGTAGGCCTGAAGCATAAATAACTTTAAACAATGTGTGTGTGTATGTGTGTGTGTGTGTGTATATATATATATATATATATATATATATATATATATATATATATATGTCAGTCTCTATGTCATATGTGCAGGTGCCCTTGAAAGCCAAAAGAAGGCAGATCCCCTGGTGCTGGAGGCTTCCAGTTACAAGTGGTTGTGAACTGCCTGATATGGGCTCTGGGAATAGAATTCAGGTCCTCTCCAAGAGCTTAAGTGTTCTCCAGCCTCGTAAAATAACTTTTGTGTCCTTTTGCCACATGCAAGCGTGTGTGTGTGTGTGTATGTGGTGTGCATTAATATGTCTACACATGTTTTCACATGTAGACACCCAAAATTGACATCAAGTGTCTTTTTCAATTGCTCTCCACTTTATTTGTTTAGGTAAGGTTTGCAATGAGCTCTGGAAGAGCTCGCTAACTCTGGTGTGATCTACTAAACCAGCTTATCCTGAAAAGCCTGTCTCCACCTCTCTGAAAGCTGAGAGTACAAGAAGCCTCTACAGCTTCCTGGATTTTATGTGAGTGCT